AGCATTTGAGGTGCTAAAAAGTTGTTAGAAATTTCACTCAGCATATAAAATAAGGGAAATGTGCTAGGCATCAACGCAGAGATGATAATAAAATCAGAGATGATAATGAAATCGTGTGGGGAAATGGAGTCGAGAGAAGAGAAAGACAATAAAAACGTGAACATGACTATCTTAGGAAAGATCCTTGAGGTCTTTAAAGGTCAAGAAGAGGAGTCAAAGGAAGTAGAAAATGAATTGTAAGAAAAATTTAGAAGTGTTGTCCACTGAAATGCAGAGAAGATAGATTAAGCTTGTATTTTATTTTCATTCCAAATATTCATGGATTAGACTAGCTGAAAAGTAATTAAGAGACTCAATAAGAAATACTGACAAGAATAAAAAATAATTTTAAGTAAATAACGAAAAGTGTACAAGTTACTCTTTCCCAAAATACTTTGTTAATTAGCCACCTCCCAGCAACACACACCACAAAGGTTGGCTTCTGGAGTGCTTTTTACCTGTATCCCTTTTTGAACAATGGTGATTGAGCTGTTTTTCCTTTTTAACAACATTGTTAGAATATTTATAACGTAGTAAGTTTAACCAGGGATGTTTACGATTGTATGTGCATAAATAAATTTCATTATATAGGAGGTGGTGGCCCATAGTCTAGGAAAAACAGACTAGTCTTCCAGAAGTCTAGGCCTTTAATAAGCTGGAATCCAGATTACTCCCTTCCGTCCATTTATAAAGAGACAGAAGGTATCTGTACTCGTATTCCATTGGTCTTTCTCGCTTTTCTTATTTAAACCATACAGTAATTTGTGTTGTTCCCAAAGCTTGCTAGGTGCTGTGTACAACACAGCAATGTGTTTCCTTAATGTATGTACCAGGCGGCTCCTTCGAGCACACGGCTAAGATTGAAGGATTCAAATCATCTAATCAGAACCTTTTAAATTCCTGCGTTAGGAGCCGCCTCCCTCTCAGAAGAAGCCCCCTTTTTACTACCAGTGGAAGCATCAGTTTCTTTGCCCTGGAAATTTTTAAGGAAATGTTTGATTTTAAAATCAATGAGTCTAGAATACCTAGCCTTCCATCGTTTCATTTTGTCCAAATGTACCTACGGTACACTACATTAAAAAATTATTTTTTAACTTCGACTGATTTTCACCTAGTCTGGGGCATACTACGGACGGTTTCGTTCGACAAAGCAGTCGCTCTCTAGGCTTGGAGTGGAATCCACCCTCAATCTTCGCAGGCTCCTCACGACCCCTCAACGCTATTTGGAAGGAAGAATCCCTCTCCTCCCCTCTTCTTTCCCTTCCTTCCTTTGTGTCCCCCTAACCTTCTCCTCCTGATCCTGGCGCGGGGAGAAGGGTCGGGACCAACAGGCGCCGTTCAGGTGGGTGAGAGATTGCACAGAGCCCACCGCGAGCGCGGACGCCGGATAAAACGGGACTCCCGGGAAGGCTCAGAGCGCACAGCACCCCGGGGCTCCGCGCGTCGGTCTCGTCCGCGCCTTCTCCCCGCCTCTGTTGCCTTTCTCTGGTCGCTGTCCTCCTCGCTCCACCCCACGAAGATGGTTGGTACATTCCCGCTCCAAGCGCTTAAAAAGGGCCGGGACGGTAAACCCCGCAGATTTCGTTTTGATTTGCGCACGCAGTGTTCCTTTGGCAAGCTCGGATTCACCGCGCTGTCAGGGGGTGGGTCTCTAAATATCTTCGCGAGGGTTTCCTGGCGTTTCAGCAGGCGCGTGTCCGGGTGTGTGTGCAGCTGTCTAGCCGGCAGCTGGGCTGCTGGGCCCCCAGCTCCTCCGCTCGCTCGGCTCCTCCACCGCAGCCCGGCAGGGAGACGCGCGCGGCATGGAGCAGACCGAGGTGCTAAAGCCGCGAACCCTGGCTGATCTCATCCGCATCCTGCACCAGCTCTTCGCCAGAGACGAAATCAACGTGGAGGAAGTGCAAGCCGTCATGGAAGCCTACGAGAGCGACCCCGCCGAGTGGGCCATGTACGCCAAGTTCGATCAGTACAGGTGGGCGCGCTCTATCCTTAAAGCTAAGCGGTGCCCACTCTCCCAGTGGGAGGAGGAGCGGGCGTGGGGGGCACATACGTGGGGGTCTGGCTCGGGGGAGCCCAGGCCTCTCAGTGCGCCCGCCGAGCCCCCTCCCATCGCCCACTCACCCCATCGCCGCGGGCCACGGGGCTGGCGCTACGCGCTTCGTGCTTTGCTGCCGCAACGCGGGCGGAAGGTGGTTCCTACTGTCCTTGCTGGCCCTCGGCAGGAGACAGCCGACTGGCGCCGGGAAGGGAGGCCACCGCGCGGCTGCGAGGTTTTCTAGCCTCTCCTCGCCCGCAAACTCTTCTGCTTCCAAAACACGACTCCTGCCCGCGGCCTGGGGAGCAATGCCCTCTCCTCTCGAGCCGTCGTTAACCCGGGACGCGGAGGTGCGGGGAGACCGCACTCGGGTTCCGACCCGCTAGGCACCTTGAGGAACCGACGGGCGGGACAAGTGGAGGGTGCTCCCGGCAGGGAACTACTTGAGCCATCGGAGAAAGGTGACGGTGAAGGACACGATTCCCACGATTCCCAGTTCTCCATCACTACGCCTTCGGTCACCTGCAGCCAGGCACCCTCCAACAGGCATTTTTACTCATGTACAATAGGGTCCTGGGATGGTCAGCAGCCACTATTCAATTTCTGCTGTCCCCTCTCTAAACCAGTTCAACCTTGCCGACTGCGGGCTCATTCAAATCCACTGTCAGGTTTCACAAATTAACGACCGACCGCTGCTGTTTCAGCCCCCGAACGATCTGGTTTCTCTTATCTGTGGTTCTGAGGATTGGAATGTAAACTGAAGGCCCTTGCTTCCCAGACCTGCTTGGGTGCGGTGTCCTGGTGGACTGGCTCCCTACAATCCTCTGGGACCAGAGGTAAAACTTAATCAATCATCCCGAAAGGTGAGAGGTTCGCTCTTTCCAAAAGGCAGCCAGCACTTCGGTCTGTATGGTTTGTTGGGTTGACGGCTGGGAGAGCGGGATAGCTGAAAGAAAAGAATAAGGAAAGAATTGTTTTCCTTGGGAGCAGTTTCTATTAGTCACCTCTTAACAAGCAGGGGGTTTGGTAAAGTGTTGTTGGCAAGGGCTGGTTCAACTGTATTTTAGGATTTGAAATAGAAAAGCGAAGCCCACTTAGGATCCCATTTTCATTTGCAAGTAGCTTTAGGAAATTTCTTTGGTTCCTGTCAACGCAGTTCATGGTAAAGCTCTTCTGTAGCTGTCAATAAAGGTATCAGAGAGTCTGATTTTTAAATCTTTATGCATTTGCTCCAGGTAATCGAGGGCTTGTTGTGGGCCAGGTACTGTTCCAATCACTTTACATATATGAATTAGGTACCATTCTTATCTCAGTTTTGCAGGTGAGGAATAGTAGTAGGCAGTGAAGAAGTTAGATAACCTGCACAAGGTCTTACTTCTATCAAGTAGCAGCTTCAGGGTTCAAATTAGCATTGTTGTTCCAGAGCCCACACTCTAAATCACTACTAAACTTCCTCCAGACACAGGACACTCTAATAGTTTTTTCTGGCTAGATAAATTATTGGCCAAGTGAAATTAATTAATCAGGATGGGCTGTAACAGCTCTTAATCTTTGGAACGAGCATATTTCCAGGGGCGTTAAATTAGTCTTGAGTGACAAACTATAAACCTTTCAAAATGCATCCAATTAGATTGATTGATCTTTTGGTAGGTGTCTGAGGCACAGCTCCGTAAGATAATGGCGTAGTTCTCTGAGTTGGGCAGTTAGGAGGGAGAAGGGAGAGCAGAAATGAATTCTATAGTATTTTTTTGCATAGAATATATGCCCAGTGCTGTGAAAACTTCTGATCTCTCACCCTTGGGAGGACCAGTGCAGAAGAACCAAGACAGAATATATTCTAGTGTGGGCCAGCCAGTAAATTTTCTAGAAGCCCCAGGGAAGCAAGAGAGATTAACCTAAGTCTTGTGGAGGGAGATGGTACAGGAACCCAGTTTACTATGAATTTAAGGTTGTGTGCACAGCCCCTTGCTAGGTCATAAAGAGCTCCAAAGTAAGGAAGACAAAGCTCTTGCTAAGCAATTCCCTCAAGGATCAAGCTCTGCAAGCACCTGGGGAAGGAAAGGGGAGGATCCAGTTAGGACAGGACAGAAGGGGCATGCAGGACACTGAGTAAATTGATGACCAAGGGACAAATACTACCAAGAAACTGGAATAAAGACTCCTTTCCTGAAAAATGACAGTCTAGATGAATACCATAATTGTCGAGCTTTGCTAATTACCTGTCAATAGCACCCCTTGAACCAATAGAAACTTTAAAGTTGTTCCTCCCTACCCACCATGGTTATGGTGGTTGGTTGGGGCTTTTTTGTTGTTGAGGGGTGTGTGCGTGTGCGTGTGCGTGTGTGTGTGTGTGTGTGTGTGTGTGTGTGTGTGTTTCCCTTAAACACTGGTTTCTCCTAATTATAATAGGTTTACAACGTTCTTTACTTTCCTAATGTAATGTCCTTTGTTCTGATAGTTAGGTCAACCTTCACCCTATTTGTGGAGAACTTTTCATTGTGAGCACTTTTGAATGTAGTTTGTGTCTGGACTTAACTAGGGAGAATTCTAGAAGAGCTATTTAATGAAAGCTTGTTTCTCAAGTCCTGGTTTAACTACAGGGAAAGAGGGGGGAAAAAAACTACCCAAAACAATAGCAACATTCTTGCCTGGAGCAAAAATGTGCTTTGCAAAAGCTTTCTTTGAGAAACTTACTCTTTTTATCAGCCTGAGGCTGTCAAATGGCTTCCCCGCGCCCCCCCCCCCGCCCCCCCCGTTATCTTTCCTATATCATGTGTTAAAACTGAGTAGCTACCTCTGTAAATGCAGTGATTCAAAATACAGAAATGTCCAAAATGAGCTGTGGAAAAAAATATTTTTCATTTGTGCTGAATTTCTAATTAGAAAACCGCATTTAAAGTTGCTTAGAGGTAGAAATATGAACATTTGTGAATGAATTGTACTTTGTGACACACTATTATTACCAGTGCTTATTTCAGCAACTCAATTCAAACTTCTGAATGCATTCTTTTCTTAGGTATACCAGAAATCTTGTGGATCAAGGAAATGGAAAATTTAATCTAATGATTCTATGTTGGGGTGAAGGACATGGCAGGTAATTCAGCTGTTCATTCATATTTATTAGAGCATCTTTTCTAGCATATGCAGCTAGCATATGCAGCCTGGCCACAGGTCTTACAAGTACTGACAGATCTCATTTTATAATTATTTGCAATGTCCCCAATCCCAGTAAACTCCTCAAGGGAATTAGCATAGGGGTATGTTCAGGTACACATCATGTGTATTAAAACCAGTCCCCAAAATGAGTAGTAAATCAAAGGAGGTAAGTAACCACCTTAACTCAACCTCATTCTTAATTTTCTGTGGAGTCAAACTTTATATGGAATTGTTCTTAAACTTGATCTTTGAGGAATGTAAACAATTGTGGGAGCAAAGATCAAAGTGTGGAGATTTAGAGCTAGAAAAAAGCATTGCACAAATTCAGAAAATTTCTTTCTATTTCAAGTTCATTCTAGATAATTCTTTTTTTACCTAGAAGGCAACTTAAACTAATACTGATTCTTTGAAACTTGGTTCCTTAACTTGTCTTTAGTTTGTACGTTTGCCAGTCTTATTATCAATTGAGAATTATTATCCTTTAAAACAGATCATTCTCAATCTTTGAGAATGGTAAAAACAACAATCCAGACCAATTTTTTTTTTTATATGGGAGAAAGGAAACAGAAATTCACAAGGCTTTATAAAGCTAGATCTATAAAGTACATTTGTTAACTCATATTGAATGAAGTTGTTTCTATTCATTCTTAATATTTTTGAAATTAGATTATGTCAGAAGTTGGACTAGGTTCTATGGATTTAGGAAACAAGTTCTTCTTAAGTTGCACATATAGGTTTATAGAATTCAACATAGGAAATACTAAAAATGTATAAAGATTCATGTATTTTAATCAACCCTACAGCTACTACTACTTTATATATTAAATACTATTTACAGCTAGGCACAGTGGCTCACACCTGTAATCCAGCACTTTTGAAGGCCAAGGTGGGAGGACTGCTTGAGGCCAGGAGTTTGAGACCAGCCTGGGCAATATAGCGAGACCCTGTCTCTACAAAAAATTTAAAAATTAGCTGGGCATTGTGGCACATGCTGTAGTCCCAGCTATCCAGGAGGCTAAGGCAGGAGGATCACTTGAGTCTAGGAGTTAGAGGCTGCAGCGAGCTATGATCATGCCACTGCACTCCAGCCTGGGTGACAGAGCTAGCCCTGTCTGTAAAAAAAATATATATACATACACACACACACACACACACACACACACACACACACACACATACACATACACATACACACACAAACATACACACACGCTATTTACTCTAAGATTACATAAATTCTTTCTTTCCTCACATCCGATTTACTTTTTATTCCCCAGCAATACTGGGAAGTAATCACAGGTAGGGTGCTCTAAATCTACAAAATGTTAATATTATATATACAGTATAACAGTAACACATATATGCATGCCTCCTCCACCCCTCCAAAGAAGAAAAGAAAAAAAGCCTTGGGAAAAAACACTAAATGTTAAGTGATCTTCTCAGTGTGGTGCCATTATTATAGATGATTATCCTTTCTAAAATTTCTCCATTGTACTTTCATAATCAAATCCTAGCCCAGCTTAAATGAGTTATTAAAAGCTATATTTTGGGAAGGTAAAATGTTGCTGGTTTTGTGTTTCTGTTATCAAAGTAGTATTACAACAAGGTTGAAAAAACTGTTCTTTTGTAGGGGTATGCATCATAACTACCCTTCATATGAGTTGATATGGATGATATGTTATTTTATTACTTTGCCTTGAACAATGTTGAATTATAAATTGGTGACATTTTAAAAATCCAGCAAAAATGGATTTGGCCTGGGAGATGTGCTGTTGACAGTGTGCAGGTGTCAGCTCTCGGCTAACTGTTGCTGTGGGTCTGGGTACCAGACCATCTACTGAGTTCATTTGTCATTTGTGTATACATAGCAGTATTCATGATCACACCGACTCCCACTGCTTTCTGAAGATGCTACAGGGAAATCTAAAGGAAACATTATTTGCCTGGCCTGACAAAAAGTCCAATGAAATGATCAAGAAGTCTGAAAGAATCTTGAGGGACAACCAATGTGCCTATATCAATGGTAATATCTTATCCTTTTTCTAAGGGCAGGTGGGAAAAACTTTGAACTCTTAATATTGGTTACTTATATATCATGGAGTCATGGTTAAAAATACTTGGGAAATGACCTCTAAACACAGTGGGTTTTGTTTTTTAAGGCTTTGTACCTGGGTTGGAGTCATTTATTAAAAACGTGTGCATGCAGATTAGTGTCCACTGAAAAGTTATTTGCCTGCCAAGACTTAAGACAGTTAAAATCGAATATGAATTTACATAAGTAAAGTCTTTCAACAAAAAAGATCAAGTTGGAAACATGAGTCTTGTGTTAGAAAATATAATGAAATGTTCTGGAAGTGATTAAGAATGCCAGCTAGTCCCTGTTTTTCTAAAATGCATATAGCATTCCTAAAAGAGTATCCTCTGGGGAAATTCTGCAAGACACATTATTGGACAGTGGTTTAGAGATATCTTACCAAGAATTCATTCTTTTTCCTGAGCAGTGATTAACTTCTGTATTTCTAAAAAAATATAGTAACTTTCCAAAAAGCTCATTAAAACTTATATGGGACAGATAATCTTTTATTCCCATTTATAGATGAGGTTGCCAACACATAGGAAGATTAAATAACTTGTCCAAGGTCACTCAGCTTTTAAGTTGCAACCAGGATTTGAACCTAAGCAGTTTGATTCCAAAACCCATGCTTTTCATCAGAATGCTATCCCCACTTATAAAGTATTATAGAGATCTATTTATTTTTTTTGGCAAAGCAGTTCATTCTCCATATATATAAAAGTCCAGTATTGGCCTAAATTTGTTAGGTAATTAGAAGTGCAAGAAACTTACAAAGTTCAGATTGTGTGGGAAGATTCCTACCCCCACCCCTTCACATAACACAAGAGTATTAGTTTCCTATGTGGCAGAAAACTGTTACTCATTTACTCAAATATTTTAAGGTTGCTATATTTAAGGCACACCAGTTTTCCAAGAACAAGTTTGTGGCTTGTACCATTCACAATAAGGCCAAAAGCCTTTCAGAATAAATTACTTGCAGCTGGAGTCAGAGTCGTTGTGAAAGTAGACTGAATCTTGAAGAATAGGTAAGCTTTTTCTAGGATCTCCACTGCCAAAGCCCATGGAATCCAAACAGGTAAGGAAGTGATACAGACCAGGGATGAGGCCGTGGTGAGGACCGGGATGAACTGGAGAGTGCAAGACACACGGAGGGGGCAGCAGTAGCCACCCAGCTCCAGCAAGATTGTCCTGACTCCTTTTTCCATAGAAGTTAGAAATTCTGGTTTTTATGTGAAATTGTGACAGTCAATAAAATATTAGGTGGGATATGCTAAATGTTTCTGTAGATTAATCACCCAAATAACTTAAAGAGCACGATTCTTAACCTCTGATTTTAACAGATGACAGAAGTAGGGGCTTAGGGGAGAGGTGCGTAGTGATCTGAGGAGGGATGTTTTAAGTACAAGGAAGAACATGAGTGAAGTCACGATCGTAGAAACTCTTCAGAAATTGGAAGGAGGAATGAAGGAGGAAGAATGGGCTTGGACAAGGGAGCAGCAGAAGAGTAAAGCTGGGCCTCCAAGACCAGCTTAAAGTAAGGGACTTCACTGATAGAGTTGTACTAGAAATATATTGATTGATTTGGTAGCAGCGTGCAATACAGAGTGGCGGAGAGGGGAGAATTGGGGCAAGGAGCCCAAGTTTCCTATTGTAATGGGCATAAGGGTGACAGGGCCTGGACCTAACTGCCCTCCATAAATATCACCGAGAAAATTTCGGTACTACTGTGACCAGGGTCACACCATGGGGTACACCATGAACATAAAGGAAAAGGAGACAAAGATCAAAATGTAATGATAATGCTGGAGTGTTGACAATAGGGACATCTCTAAAGGATAGGTAATTTGTCTTTGCAAAGTTTTTGCTTGCACGAGTGTCCAGCACGCACTGGATGGTGTATGCACTTCCGGTGTTGAACCCTTGTTCAAAATTGTGCTTAAGCCAGTGTATTATGAAGGCAATAAGCTATAGGATTGAAGAGTTTGCAGGTCTGAGAATTAGGCCCCATTTTTAGAAATAAGGAAAACTGAAGATCCTAGAAGTTGTACTTGTTCAAATGTAGCCTAGCTAGTCACTCTGGGGGTAGAACCTAAATCTTCTGTTCTTCATCATGAGCACTCGTGGAGCTAGATCATAAAGAAGAAAGCGTAAAGCCACATTGAGTACCTACATTAATTACACTGAATCTCTTCCTTGATCCTTCAAACTCTCTTTTCACTGTATAAATTTTTCTCAGTGTATTTTTAAAATATTGAGTATATTGTCCTTTTTAAAAAATCTTCTTGAAGACATCTGTCCTGGGGCCATTTGACTGCTTCAGTACAGACTGGATGATCTCTAGGCCAGGGCTCAGCTGGCATCCTGAGGTTCCCTTTGTATCATCCCAGGCTTTCCCTTCGCGCTCTCCCACGGTTGGACCCCATTTCCTGATCTCATGTTTTCTTCACGCCTTGGTTCATGCCCTTGTTTTGGTGGAGCGTGTCCTCCAATGGCTCTATGAGAAAGATTAATGGAAGGTAAATTTTTGAGACCTCATATATCTAAAAATCTCTGTATTCAACTCTTAAAACTTAAATGATAATTTACCTGGATATCGCTTCTGACCTGGCAAACATCTTCCCTTGGAACTGTGAAGGTAATCTCTTTGTCTTGGTTCCCAGTGTTCTTGTCAAAAACCTGGTGCTTCTGATTCTTGAATCTTTCTCTGAAACCTATTTGTTCTTTCTGGAAACTTTTGAGATCTTCTCTTTTGGTGCCTTCTCTCTGTCCCCACTATTCTGAAATTCACAGTGATGTATCTTGTTTGATGACCCGTTCATTGTGCTGGGTACTCATTGGGTTCTTTCAATCTGGAAATTCGTGTCCTTCAATTCAAGAAAATATTCTCAAGTTATTTCTTTGGGTTTTTTTCCTGCTCTGTTTCTGAAACTCATATTGTGTAGAACCTCCTCAACTAGTTCTGAGTTTTTTTTCTGTCTTTCCTATTGTTTATCTCCATCCTTTCGTTCTTTGACTCTTCCTCAGCTTCTTCTGTGAACCCTTCTATTCAGTTTTCTATTTCTAAAAGTTCTTTTTATTTTGTGGTCCCTTTTATGTATTTTCTCTTATCCCTCTGAGGACATCGATGATAGATTTGTTTAAGTCTTCTCCCGAGTAGTCGCTGTTCCCAGTTGCTTTTCTCCATCTTCTCTGGCCTCTTGTTTCCTGTTAGAGGCTTTGCTCAGATATCTGGTGGCCTTGGCTATCTATGTGCTAATATTTAAAAACCAAGGACAAAAAAGTTAATGGGTAGCTCTGAACACATGAATGGGGCTTATCCACTGGATTTCACTCTGCGATAATCTGGCAGAGCCTTTTCCTTGAGGAACTCCCAGTGATAATATCTTTAGGGCCTTTTCTTAAGCTAATCAGATTCTCTGAGAAGCTGCTTCCCATCTCTTGTCTGAGAAAAAAAAATCCTGTTGGGTAGCATTCTGGCAGCTAGGTAGTGACTAAGGCAGGGATTTTACCATTCAATATGTGGATTTTTGTTTAATTCACCTTTTTTTTCACCTGGTGTCCACCAGTCCCAAGTTGATCTGTTGTACTCTTACTAGAGACTGCATCTCAGTCTTCTTCTGGGAGGAAGAATTGGTGAAAGGGATTGATACGCTACTTACATATGCTTTCAACCAGTTCCGGTATTTTTAGACCCCTCTTCACCGTCATTTCCAAAAGTACATGGTGCTGCCAATTCCTGAGCTCTTTGGATTTTCAAGATATGAATTAGGTTATTTCTTGGCTTTCCCCGCAGATGGCCTAGAATTTAGCTTTCTCTGTGTAAAGCCATCCACCTAACTTTCAAGCTTTCAGATTTTTATTAATGTTTTGCTTTTTAAAATTTTCTTTGTATGTTGCTATCTTTTATTCTTTTACTGCAATTGGGGCAGATTTTCCAGAAGGAACAGAGGGCTAATGCATACATGTCGCTTACTACCTGTTAACGGAAGTTCAAGCCGGACACAGTGGCTCACACCTGTAGTCCTAGCTACTCAGGAGACTGAGACAAGAGGATCACTTGAGGCTCAGAGCTCAAGATCAGTCTGGGCAACATAACAAGACCCCATCTCTCTAAAAAGAATACCAAAAAAAAGAAAAATTAGCCAGGCCTTTGTGGTTCCAGTCTGTAGTCCCAGCTACTGAGGAGGCTGAGGTGGGAGGTTCACTTGAGCCTAGAACTTTGAGACCAACCTGGGCAATATAGCAAGACTCTGTCTCTAGAAAAAGAATGAACAAAAATTTTAAAAATAGGAATTCAGTAAGTTAATTTCTATTAATTCCATATGTATCACAATTGATTTGTGATTTTAGGTGATTAACAAAAATTTTGCCTACAGCTATCACCTAGGTTCCTTCATGTATTCTTCCCTCTTGGATATTTAGATTCCATTGGCTTACATCGAGTAGAAAACACCAGCCATACAGAACCTGCCGTGAGCCTTCACTTGTACAGTCCACCATTTGATACGTGCCATGCCTTTGATCAAAGAACAGGGCATAAAAATAAAGTTACCATGACATTCCATAGCGAATTTGGAATCAGAACTCCATTTGTAAGTACAATTTCTCTCTCCTACATTTAAATGCTTTGTGAGTTGGCACCATTACAGTGTAGGCATTGCTTTTTGTTATTCTGAATATTATTTGAATATCTTAAGTTTTAATATTCTGGAAGAATGAGATGAACCTTAACTCAGGGGAAAGACCCAATATATCTTAATTCTTTTCTTTAATTGTGGAAACTATATTTTCAGTTTATTACAAAATACCATTAAATTAGATACAAAGAATTATTTATTGAGAAACTTCAAAATGTATGTTCAATCCTAAAGAAAATGTTTTCTCTTCATTTATTTGGGAAATAAGAGTGAAAACTATATTATTTGCTATAACTGCTATTGCTGTGACTTACTGTTCCTAGGGCTAATTTGCTGGGACAACCCAAATAAGTTGCATTATTAACCTTTATAAAGTTGAGATCCTAGTCTGGTGGTATAACGAAAGAAAACTATCTTATTTGCCAAGTTTGCTTTTCCTTTTTGAGTTGTGCTGCTATTTAGACCACGAATAATTAAGAATAGACTATACTAACATGTTCCTTCTTGAGGAACAAGAATTTCGTCCTAAAAATAATGCAACCAGCACTAATGTGGTAGGGCAGTCTTTACCTCTGGTGAAATAAATGGGTCTTTTAGAGGAATGGTCTCTATTTAGTCATTGGAATGTCCATGAATAGCCAACGCATGAAAACAGACTGAAAACAATCCTCATGAATCCTATGAAAGCAAGCCTTTGAGAGAAGCTGGGGCAGAATTTTCAAGTCACTGCCCTGCTTCTTCTTTGTCTTCCATATTCCAGACCCTAAGAGATGTTCTTATCGCAGGAACGAAACAGCAAGGCTCCATTCCCATACCTGAGTTTTCATACACTGCTGGAAAAGCAGGGCTACTTAGAACAAGCTGAAATGTCTTTCATAAAGATTCATACATAGGGTTTTTGTTTTTTTTCTCTCTTACAGACAACTTCAGGTTCACTGGAGAACAACTAAGGAGCACCAAATCCTGAGATTGTACTTTAAGGTCTGCTGTACGTTTGCCTTGGTCAGGAAGCTCACCCACCACTTGCTGTCCAGTAATACACTTCAGTAAGCCAATACGTAGATCTACTGTAAGGCAGATGCTAATTATAAGGCATTAAGTAAGCAAATAGTGTCCTGAGCTACTGCAGAAGAAAAATCCCATTGAAGAAAAAAGTATTGTGATTTTTAAAAGCCAAATTAAGTGCTCTCCTAGTTCTATCCTCTAATTCCATTGAAACCATACTTGGAGTGTCAATAAGGGTTTTTGTAGCTTTTGGAAACACTCTGGTCTCTGACCACGTTTAGCAAGTAAAACCAAGAAACCACAAACATCAAATGCCTGCTTTGTTACCTGAAGGACTAAATGTAGTTGTCTTTAATATACTTTGTATGTCCTTAATATTCAAAGAGAATTTTTTCAAATCTGTGGAATTTATTTTTTCAGTCTGATTTTACAGATTCCTTTTCTATGAATAATAGATAGAGGAACTTAAGGCACTTTGCCATTTAGTAATGAAATAAAGAGCAGAAGATTTAGAAAAGTACAGGTTCCCAAACCTACGACAAACCAAAACAAACTCATGTCCATGGTCATAGTGACAGATTTTGTACTGCTATCAAAATTGTCAGATTTAATAAAACTGGATTTGAACACAATTCAAAGTTTTCTTTCTTGATTAACATGATAAAAAATTTCACATAAATCGTAGTTTCTTAGATTTAAATAGGTTAACAAAAGCACTGAAAAATGCTTTTATGATGTCAGAATATGAGAGGGCCAAAAATATGCATTCAGAAGCAACTTGCCTTTTTGGGCTTCATGTGTGTTCGTTAATTGGCCAGAGATACCAGCCTGAGGACCTCTGGCTCTAATGTAGCTCATTGACATGATCAAATCTGCCTGAAAATTGTGTTTGTATCTGTGTGTGTTTAAATGTGAGTTTTTTTTCAACATTTGAAAACTAGGGATTTCATAGAAAGTGAGGATTTCTAGCTTATTGAAAATTTGAATTATCTAGAGTGCTGGGTCTGCATTGCATTTTCATTGTCATCTGCTAGCTAGGCTAGGATCTGCCCCTGAAGTGCGGCCATCCCTTCAACCTACTGCAGTCCCCAGCTCACTCGTTTCCATTATTTGTTTCCTGCAAAGTCCACCTAAGTATCTGAATTTGCTGCTCCTGCCTTAGGCAATTTTCTTAGGAATATTTATCATAATCTTAGAGTGTATTATCTCTGGAAACTTAATTAGACAGTAAAGTCCTCTGGAAATAGCTTCTATGTAGATCATCAGTTGTGTTTATATCATCTCAGAATTATTTACATCTTAGCTTCCTCTCATCTTTAAGGATATTAACACTTACTGAGTGCTTACTACATACTAGGCATTGTTATAAATTGTTTAAATACACTGGCAAACTTAATTCTGAAAAACAACCTTAATGAATTAGATACTGTGTTTTCTACTGCTGATGTAACACAGGACCACAAATTTAGCGGCTTAAAGCAATGCAGATTTATTATCCTACAGCTCTGTAATTCAGAAATCTTGTTTCACAGCACTAAAATCAAGGTGTTGTCAGGGCTGCACTCCTTTAAGACGGCCAGTGTTCCTTGACTTGGGCTCCTTCCTCCATCTTCGAAGCCAGCAATGGCAGGTTTAGTCCTCATTCACTTTGCTTTTCAACTTTGAGGGACTCATGGGATTAGATAGTCTCCACCTCAACGTTGTAGCCTTAATCACAATTTTGCTACATGAGGTAACATATTCTTAGGTTCTGGGAATTAGATATGGATGTCTTTGGGGAAGCCATTCTGCATATCAGTCTACTCTCTTGCCCCCAAGGGGAGAGTCCATCCCACATGGAAAACAGATTCACACATCCAAAGATCCCAAAAGTCGCATTCCATTCCAGTGTCAACTCAAAAGTCCAAAGATCTTGTCAGCATCTCATCTAAATTAGGTATGGGAGAGGATCTTGTTATACTCTATGCCAGGACACAATTCCTCTCTATGCATAGAACTATTTATTAAGCATAGTTGCTTAAGAAATTTGCCAAAAGTTATCCAGCCAAGATATTATAGAGCTAGTATTTAGAGCCAGGATTTGATCTCAAGCAACTATCCTCTAAAACTCATCCTCTGTATATTCAAGCCTTTCATGGTAAAAGCAGCCTGGCCCACTTCCCATTTCTATGTAACCCATAATATTACAAAAAATTATGGTGTAATTGTGTGCTTTAGACATATGCTATACTTAAAAGACTGAAATGTTTAATAAATTGCATCTTTAACACCCCCAAATGAGGTAATACCCTATGTGTGACCGTAGTGGCAAAATGTAAATGTGAGGATCCCTGTGAATGTGAGGCTTAGCCCAGCTGGCCATACCACTCTCCTGGCCTCTGTGCTGGGCCCTGCTCTCTCCAGCCCACAGTAGCCTTCGCACAGGAGCAGACATCACTTCTCTCAGAGCTCAACGTTTGTTTGCTTGGGGCACGGAGGTGTTTGCACACATGCAAGGCAGTGATGGCATCAAGCGCTCAAGTGGATTTTGGAGCAGTGAGAAAGAACACTGAAGGCTGGAATCATGCTGGAAGCTAAATGATGGACGAAATGTATTAATAAAAGGGAGTAAAAGACCTAAGGCTGGAAGAAGAGGAGTGAGCCCCAAGTGTGATGAGACAGGTGGCCCAAGCACACTGTAGCACTCAGTAACTCCCATCTCACCTGTGGCTGGAGCGTGTGCCTTCGCTGTTCCCTCTGCCTGGAATGCCTTTTCCCAGCTCTTTTCCATGGCTGGCTCATTCTTGCCTTTCAGATGTCAGCTCACATGCCATCTCCCCAGAGAGGAATTCCCTACCCACCCCATCTAAAGGTGAAATCTCCAGGCCCTCTCTATCCACTTTGACTGAACCACTTACAGTTATTTGAAAAGTGTTATTTCTTTTTTCACTCCTTTATTGTCTAAATCCTACTGATGGAGTTCTATTCAGCCACAAAAAACAATGGTGATCTAGCACCTCTTGTATTATCCTGGATAGAGCTGGAGCCCATTCTACTAAGTATCCCAAGAATGGAAAAACAAGCACCACATGTACTCACCATTGAATTGGTATTAACTGATCAACCCTTAAGTGCATATATAGTAATAACATTCATTGGGTATCGGGCAGGCGGGAGCGGGGAGGAGGAGATGGGTATATTCACACCTAATGGGTGTGGTGCACACCGTCTGGGGATGGCCACACTTGAAGCTCTGACGAGGGTGGGGCAAGGGCAATATACCTAACCTAAACATTTGTACCCCCATAATATGCTGAGCTAAAAAAATAAATAGATATATAAATCCTACTGATAGGATGCAAGCCCCATAAGGGAAGAGACATTCTGTCATTAATTGCTGGATCCTGAGCACTTAGACTATACCTGACACATAGTAAGTGTTCAGTATTTATGAAATGAATGGAAAAAACCTCAACCTCCTTACATGATAATCTTGTATTAAGGTACTCTGATGCTTTGATCTTTTCTGTGTGCCACCAAATCAAATGTGCCATGTTATTTTTATTAAGTACGGAAATTTTAAGGATCCTTTTCTTAAGTCACAGACTTCTTCTGTAAGGCTATATCAGGGACATCTTTTGGTGTGGGTTCATTAATCATGTACTTAAACTAGTTGATGAACAAAGGGCTTTTACATATGTTCCACAGGAGAGGACAGCATTAATTATCCTATTTAGCAATGGTACTTGGCCTTTTTTTTGTTTGTTTTTGGGATCATGGACCACTTTGAAAATCTCTGAATGCTAAAGAACTTCTCTCCAGAAAGGTAACACACAACAAATTTGCATACAATTTCAGAAAAGATTCATGGACTCTCTGAAGGCCTCTAGGGCCCCTGATTAAAGAGCCCTGCCACATATGAGCCAAGTCTCATGGAAAATGGTATCTATTTGACTTCGTTTCTGAGATTAAGAGGGCATTAGCATGCTGGGTAACAAAAGATTACAATGGTGTTTCTAGAAAACACCAGAGACATGAGCTACCTCATCCAAGGCACGTCCACGCATTTCACAAGATCCATTCTGTTTCTAAGGACATGAAAGACATTTCAGACTTTCACAACTTTGTTTACGCAGTTGATAGCTGTTTTCTTTAGAAAAAAAATTGTGGGAGAGTGTAATATGGGAGAGTAAAATAAAAGAAAGAGAACAACAAATATTGTATGCTCCCATTTATACAAGGGACCCAGAATAGGCAAATTCATAGACAGAAATTAGACCCAGGGGCTGAGGGGAGGGAGAAGGGGGAGTTACTGTTTCATGGATATGGAGTTTTTGGTACGATAAAATGTTTTGGGTATAGATAGTGGTGATGGGTACATAGTATTGTGAATGTATTTAATGCCACCGAATTGTACATTTACAAATGATTTAAATATGTATATTTTCCCACAATAAATTATTTCTTTGAAAAGTATATGTGGGAAAAAACTGTGTATGTGTGTGTATGTGTTGGTATAGGTGAGACATATTGATCATAGAAAATGCTAAAGATGTGGAAGGCATAGGTGAAAAGTCTTCCATTCCATTCACCAGCACTCAATTTCCCTCTCTAGAGGTAACCAATGTTACTACTTTCTTCTGTTTCCTCATTTATTTTTTCCCTTTTTTTAAATATACAACGTAGCGTTCTAACGTTAATGTTGTGCACTTATAAGGAGGTCTTTCCATATCAGAATACAAACAGCTTCTTCATTCCTTTGTACTGACAGCTGTGTGCTGTTCTAGTGTACGAATATACATCATTTAGTTACCCAGTCCTCTACTGATGGGCTTTATGTCTTTCCGCCCTTGCACGGTTACAAACGATTCTGCAATGAATAATTGTGTACATGATGTCATTTCACAAAAATCAGCTAACGTGTTTCTTTACTGCAAAACAAGCAAGATAACAGACCCCAGGAAATGAGGTAGCAGCAGGTCAGGCTAAGCTGCCCTTGCCTGAGGCTTCCCTTTACTGCAGAGCCCGTCCCGTGACGTCCTTGTCTTCAGTTCAGCCCTTCTCCACCCTGTTCACTGAGCTAACTGTGTTCAGACGAAGCTCCAATGCTGTCAGAAGTTTGACACTCACAGAGAGATTACGTATCCCGACCAAGACAGTCCAAGAGAAGTCCACCTGTTGGTAAGAAAAGTAATGATCTAGTCATGGTCAATTTAGAATTCAGCCCCACTCTCAGTAGGAGAGTTGATGCATTCCTGACGTTTGTTTTTGTTTTATGTCATTGAGCTTTTTGTGTGGTTAAAGATGTGACAGCTTTACCTTTGAAAACATGCCCCATATATTGCTTACTGAAAGGCATTTGGTGTGTTTTTTGAATAACTCACAAAGAGATTTAAGCTGTGAGAGACCAACTCTTCCTCAGGAATCTGAGGGGCATTCTTATACAAACTCAAGAAAGTGGTCATCTGCTTAAAATATTTATATCTAAATACCATATACTAGAGTGATATGTATAATGTTTACGAAACCCCTCTAGAATGGTTCCTTGCACATGAGGGGTAGAAATATTACAGAACTAGAAAGTAATCTAAATGGGACTGAAGATCGACCAGCCTTTGATCTCAAGGTCCCTCCTAGGCGTGTCATAACATGA